CCGCCGCCAGCCGCCGCCGCGCCGGATGCAGGTGAGCGCCGCGGCCCGCCAGGGCCTGGCGGGGATCGGGGCCGCCATGTCGGGGCCTGCGCCGCCCGCCAGCACCGGGGCCAGCGGCCGGCCAGGCGGCTGCGGGGCGTCGGGCCCGCCCGGTAGAGGAGGGAGGCCTCGCTGAGGGGATGAGGGGCGGCGGGAGGACCGCGCGTCTTCCCCGATCCGGGGCCCGGGCACGGCCGTGCGGGCTCCGCGGGCCCACCGCTGGGACGGCCGGCCGCTCACCTGTGCGCCGTGCGGCGGGGAGCGCTGCTTCTTTCCGGGGGGTTTCACCTGCCGCAGCACCGCGCTCGGGTGCTGGCAGAGGCGAGGACAGGCATGAACGTCCGAGTTTGTGTCAGCAGTCCGGGGGCTTGCTTCGTAAACTTCTCGGTGGAACATGGCGGAGCGCGTCCCGCCGTGTGCTGTCCAACCGCCCGAAACCTCGGCCACGTTCTGTCTGACCTCCCGGGACCTCGGGGCAAGCAGCTTCGTCTGCCTGCTGCTGAAACTTGGAGGAGACCGAGTGCCCGCTTTTAGGAGCCGCAAGTTGTGTTGATTGGCCACCGCTGGGACGGGAGGCCTGTGGCCAAACGCTGTCTGTGGGGAGGGCATTTTGCCCTGCTGTGCTGAGCTCCCCCATCCCGAGTCAACCTGGAGGGGAGCACCTCGTCTTGAGTTGCTCCTGGCGTGTGTAGACATGGCCAATAATGAAAGATAAATGAAAGGATAACGTAGCTATTTTTAGTGTCTGCCATTCTTTGAGATGTTTTTGCCCCAGTGCAAGTTTTTTAACAAAAAAATACAAAGTGTATTGTGTCCAATAAGAGCGTCATCCCTGTGACGAAAGCCTAGGAGTTCCTAGAAGCAGCATCCACATGTGGAGGGCCAAAGGGCTTTGGCAGGGCTGGAGTGTGGCCTTTACAAACACAGCACCACTAGCGTTTTCCTCCCTGTCTCTCTGTCCCAAAACGTGATGTGATGGTGAACTTTGTACTGAGAATGCTGTCTATCCACGGGGCAGCCCGCTGGGCCTGGCTGTGCACTGGCAGTACTCCAGACTGACAGAGGCGGCTCTGCATGCACAGGTCCCTGCGTGGCCCCTTCCATTTCCACCGCACCATGCTGCAGGCCAGTGTGTGCCTTATCAAAGCTCTCCAAACTGAGGACTGCAAATGCCTCAAGCTCTCTGTGCCCTGCTGAGGGTAGTAAGACATTACTACTTGGTTGTGTCATTTTGCTCCGGAGTAGATGAGCGGTGTGTGCTGATGACATCGTGCTGCTCCATAGCTTGCCCGTGTCTGTGCATCACCATATGCGTGGCCCACAGTACTGTGTTGATTGATCCAAACAGAGCTTATGTTCCAATATCTACTCAGGCATGAAATCTCCTTGCCCACTGCCTTCAGAGACCATTGGGGATGATAGAAGGCCCGTGACCACCAGGTTGGGCAGAGTGGTGGGAATTCTGCAGCACTGTGCTGCCCGCTAAGCACACCTCATTAAACACTTTCAGTTTTGTCCTTTTCTCACTACAAAAAGTGAGGAGCTGTAGCACTACGAGTTGCTGAAGTACAACAAAAGAGAAATTATTCTGTTTTGCCTTTTCTTTCTGCAAGGGCTCTTGCTTTCTAATTTAGTCGGTGAATTTCATTGAAGCATAAAGTACGATGTAAGTGGATGATAGGTACTGCCACATCCTTGGGCTGAGGTTAGGTTTCCTTTGCCCTCAGAAACCGAGATGCTGACATGCCCGTGACAAAGGAGTAGGAATACCCGTTGTCAGACTGCTGGAAAAAGTTTGTTTGGCTGCAGTGTGAAAAACACGAAACTTTGCAGATTCATTTAGAGCCACTGAGCTTCACACCAGGCCTATATGGCAAACTTCTGCTGGCACAGCTCTGTCTGCGAGCGCTGTGACGAGGTGTGACCCGTGACTGACATAGCTGTGCCAGCAGAAGTCCCTGCTGTAGATGCAGTTATCTGCAGAAGTGCGCTTTTACTGATAGGGCTTGTTTTCATTTTTAAGGGTGTTTTTCCTTGTAGCGGTGGCGGTGTCATTGCCAGCAAAGTGCAGAACCTTTAGGGTGAGAGGAGTTGGTGTGTCTGGCTCGGAGGGGACACCACCAGCCTGCGCTCTGTGAGGGCAGCTCTCCTCTCCCCACCCCAGGTATCAGGAGCTCGGGAACGCCTGCAGTAGCAATTCTCTTACTGAAGTAAGTGGTGTTATGACTGCTCCTTGTTTTCTTTCCTCACAAGGATCTTTGTAAAGCTTCATTTCGGGTGATAAGCTGGTGGTTTTTTTTTTATTGTTTGGATTCTGGCTGTTTTTCCTTACTGGACTTGCTTTTATAAAAAGCAGGGCAGCTTTGCTCTGAGCCTGCCAAGTACAGCAATATTCTGCTCTCACACCAGTCCTGTAGAAATCAGCCAGAACACGATCCCAACGTGTCTACGGATTGTGGAGGTAAAATGAAAGGGAGCCATTGGAGAAAAGTTAATTAATTTGCAGACTGGGGTGAGTCTTTACTTAATTTAAACCTCAAGCATTGCAAAGAAAATCTTACATTGAGGTAGGTCTCTGCAGCTGCTGTCTTCCTTGTTCAGAGTCAGTGTGCACAAATGGGAAGGTGCTTTTTCTTTTCTATTTTTTCTGAGAACATTTTGCTTTCAGTGGTAGCATCGATAATAAGCACAACTCTTGAGCAAATTTCCAGTAACAGAATAGAACTAGTGCTTAGATCAGCCTTATGGAGACTTTTAGGTTGCTGAAGTTTAGAAGGGGGGATACATACAAATAAATAGTTTGCTTTCTGGGAAGAGATCTGTGAGTTCAGAGGGCCTGTGAGGCATTGGGTGTCACCCACTCTGCTCCAGGAGCCAGCATCGTGTTGGATGCGTTGTTAGAGAGCATAAGACAGCACT